GCATTCGCATCAAGCGCATTGCGCATTTTTCGAGTTTTGGCCTCCTTCCAGGGACCTTGATTATTACCCGCTGGGACTGACGTCTTTTCATTGGTCAGCCGGTTAGCGCGGTCGATGCTAATAATAAAAACACACACAATGGACATCAATTTGAGAACAGTAATTAATTCAGGGGTCGGGCTGACAGGCGGTGTTATTCAACGTGCGCAGAACCCAGGCGGGGAAACAAAAGGACCCATCTAAAACAGTTTTTTTGCGAAAAAAAAACTCCGCTATCGCTCCGTTTTTATTTTCGCACGCGCGCTTCGCGCGCGGAAAAAACTCCTATAATAGTCTACTACGTCAAGAAAAACTACCTTGAAAACGATGACATGATGAGGGCCATCTATTACAGTAGCGGCGCGTAATAAAAACAAAGAGAAAGTTCGTAGTTTTGGGGCTGGCCTCTGCTGGCAACGACTGCGTTTCACACGCCGTGTCTTGCTGTAGGTACCCAAGCAAGTGGAGGAGTGTCGAGTTCTCGTCAACTGCGTCTGCTGGCAAGAGCCAACTAACTCCGGTGCGAATACTCCGGAAAGTTGTGTTTTTTTCAGATTCGTGGAATGCTGCTGCTGTGTAGACATGATGGGAAAAATTGTTCGTCCATCCCCCTTTTTTCAAGCAAGACCAGAACATTAAAAGAAAATGTGTAGACAGATATTCTAGTTTGGATGCCGGCGACTTTGCTTTGGCTTCACAACAGTGCACGTTCTCTGCTTGATACTTAGTTTGAATAGTCACGAACGAAACAGGCAAACAGGAGCTTTCGGCTCTCCACGGAGGTTTGAGGTCGAAAGCGCAAAACTCCATAGCGAACGATACATGTCGTTACTCGTTGAATCACCCCCCCGGCAACTCCGCCCTGCTTCCACCTTGCCATGCAGATTGAGCGGACTCGCGGTGGAGTGAGAGAGCTCATATCCGGTATAAGCTTCCCACCTCCGACCCCGGAGTCCCGCCGATCTTGCCCTCACTGTCCCATGACCTTCGTGAATGAGCAAGGCCTTGGGATCCACGTGAGAACGCAGCACAGTAGTGTAAACATGTCCAACGGCGTGCGGCTGCGGCGCATGTTACGGAAGGATGTCGGAGGGAGTGTCCTGCCGTGGGAAGCAGCCGGGCCTGGGCGTTGTTGGCACGTGAAGGTCGATCATGCGACGGAGACGGCTTCGTTTGTCCTCCAGCGGAAGCGCTTTCTCGATCTCGACTTGGAGAGCGACGGCTTTATGGACCGCAAACCCAAGGACACTCGTGGGGCTCCCAAGCACAGGCGATACGACTTCAGGTTCAAAGCCCACGCGGTCAATCAGCTGCGCATCCTCCAGGACAACGCCGAGGACCTCTGGAAGGAGGAGCAGCGCACGCCTCTTCAGTTCTTGGAGGATCGTCTCAAGATTCCCTACAGCAATATAGTGAGGCCAAGAACGAGAAGGAACTGGTCGCGGCGGCAGCCGATGACGTAAAGAAGAGCCTCCTCGCCAAACAGCAGCCTTAGACAAGTACAGCGGAGATTCGGATGCGGCTGTAGGCTCCTGGGTTTTGCTTGAGAGCATTAGTAGATCAGGAAGGGTACGCAGGATCAACGTCACCCTTGTGGACCAAGAGGGTTGACAGTTGCTGCTCCATGCCTTGGTATTTTCTTGTATTGACAGTAGTACTAGTGTTGCTCATGTTGACAGCCGACAATATAGCAAATGATGTTTAGATACTGTAAGAACAAGAACGCCCCTTAATGGAGAAGAATGGACTACGAAATAAGAACTTGGCAAATAAGAACTGGTGCTCGGGTTGGGGCAGCCAATAAGTACTGAGCCTCGCCCAATATAGGAGGTTCTTAAGTGCGGGCCGGCACTGTACCACAGTTGTGAGCATGCAAACGTGCTGCAGGGATTGCAGGTGTACCTCCTCGGGCTTGCGTACCCTTTTGTTGCCAATAGTGTGAGTTCTTTAGATCTTCTGATGGCTCTAGCATTTTTGTGACCACGGACAGAGTCTTTGCTAGATTTTGGGATTAGCAACTGACACGAGTTTAATGTGAAGAAAAACAACAAACAACAACAACAACTCCTCCCTCCCCCCCGGTGGTTGCCATCGGGATTGGGCTTTCGTCGCTTGGCAACGACGTTGTAAAAAAGCCAATTCACTTCGTAGCCTCGGTGAAGGCCATCTGACTCTCGAAATCATGGGTTCGAGTCCGTGTGGAGGTGTCTTTTTTTTCCAGGACATTCTTTTTTTACAATAGGTATGTGGGCGACTGCGAACGAACGCAATCCAATGTGTAGACCACCCGCACAAGCCTACTGCGGGTATTTTTTTGGGAAAACGGCACAACAGGGTATACCCTGGTCGAAAAGTGACACACCTGGGTACACAGCAGTCATTAACAGCAGTAAATGCACTCATGTTATTGGTCAGCGCCCAATTTCACCCCGGTACGTCCGAAAAGGCGCAGGATATACCCTGCCGTGACTATTTTTCTCAACAACTGTACCCTGTTTTCGGAAATGTACCCTGACCGGTCGGGAAAAAGGCCCTTTCATCAATCATTTGCACCGCAGGAATCTTCCCGACTCCTTTTCCCGTCTAACCATGGGACACCAAACGGCGGCTCTTCCCGCCCAATAACAACCACGGCAACGGGGCAGGAGTCAGTTTCCGCCCCTGCGAAACGACACCAACCGCCAACTCTTCTGCTCTAAGTCAACAATGGCCGGGCAACACGTTTTTTTTTTTTTTTTGATCGGTTTCCGAGGGCTCTTTTCTCGAACGGTCGGTTCGATACCTGTTCTTCGCTTTCTATCATTTTGTTTTCTTTTTCCGAGTGGTTTGTACCCCATTTTGTATTTTTTCCCCGCGGCGTCTTTTGTGCCGGGTTTTGAGACCACGGGCTCCCCATTTATTGTAGACTTTAGAGATAATGAGAGAAACAACAACAACAACATTCTCCCCTCCCCGGCCTTCCCCCCCCGTACCTGGGGTAGGCCGAGGTTCCGCAAGTGGATCTAGACCTCGAAAGACCACCCAGCAACGACGGCTATGCGGTCCCTAGCACTGTTTAGAGGGGGATCCTGAGTTTGGCGGTTGGGAGTTACTGCTGTCGTGAGATCGGGGTAGCTCCTTAGCCGCCAGCTTTGGTAGCTGCAAAATGAGACTGGATCCTAACGCCGCGGCTTGGACACCGGGGCTGTACAGCAGCAGAGAGCACGGTGAGGGAGGCGGAGTGGCCGCACGCCGTGGGGGTATGCCCCAGAGAGAGGAAAGGAGAGAGTCCAGAGATGGCGGGCCATACCGCCTCGGGACAAGAAGACAACCCTGTCGGAAACAAGGCAAGAACCGGGGTAACATCACGTTAGCCCGAGTGTACGTAAGAAAATAGTGAAAAAACAAAAAAAGAGGGGAAGATGGAGGAAAAGGAGGGGTCGGGCGGCGCGTAGGCTAGCTAAGAGAGCAGCGCGCGCCGCGCGAAAGAGACAGCAGGGTCAACTTCTTAGGGTAGCAACCTGGAATGTGCGGACTTTGGCTGTAAACGGGGCCAATGGATACGGGCGAGCTTACAGCCATCTACAAGGGGCAGCGAGACAAAAGACGTATCGGTGGTAGGAATGCAGGAGACACGGAGGGCAGGTCGAACGGAATTTGCAGCAGCGGGTTTCCGGGTGTTCTGCTGTGGCACGGAGGCTGGTGGAGTCCATGGTGTGGGGATAGCCGTTAACGAGTCACTGTGCGAGACATCCACGTTCACTACGGAGTTTATCGACGAACGCCTTATGGCCATGAGGTTTCTGTTGGCAGGCCACCGTGGAGCGGTCAACTTCGTCGCCGCGCATGCTCCAACCGAACGTTCAACCGCCGACAGCAAGCGCGTGTTCTGGGGAAAACTTGACAGTCTCGTGCGGAGGATCCTTTCCAAAGAATGTGTGTATGTCCTACTGGACGCCAACGAGCGGACGGGAGGTAGGCTGGGCGGAGGGGACGGAAGGGAAATAGGAATGTACGGGCGTGATGAGCTCAACGNGACACCGGGGCTGTACAGCAGCAGAGAGCACGGTGAGGGAGGCGGAGTGGCCGCACGCCGTGGGGGTATGCCCCAGAGAGAGGAAAGGAGAGAGTCCAGAGATGGCGGGCCATACC